GGCGCTGGTTCTCTTTTTCCACCTTACTTATGTTTGTGAGACAAGAGGATCTCATGTAGCCCAGAATGACTTGAACTCAATATGCAACCGACGACGACGACGATGAACTTAACCTTCTAATCCTCCTGTTTCCACCTCCAGAGTGCTGGAATGACATGAGCGTGTCACCAAGCAGTGTTGAGGGCCATTTTCCTGTTTGGAAACCACTCTACCAATGAAGCTACATCTCTAGTCCCTCTGCCTTGTTTGTGAAGCAGAATCTGTTTTATTTCTGCCTTTTTCCAGGCTTGCTGGCCCACAAGCTTCTGGACAGTCCTGCTGTCTCCACCTTGAACCTCCCATTAGGAGGACTGTGATTCCAGATAAACCACTGTCTTGCCCATGCGTGCTGGGACTAGCAGGTTATGAGGCTTTTAGTCTCTGAGCCATCTCCCCACTGTATAGTTGCTCTAATGGGATTTATGCATGTGAAGAATGGGCCCGAGAATAAAGATTAAATAAAAACTAGGGCCTTCTTGTTTTTATTCCGGGTGGAAAATACACTTCCCTTTTCTTTATGTTAAACACAATGAAAAAAGCCAGAACTTTGTATTTCAAGCACAGACAAGAAGACTGCTGACAGATGAGAGCAACCAACGAAGAATGCAGGGGCATCAGAGGAAATGAGGTCTCTGGGTTTTCTGCGTGCTTCTGTCACACAACCTGCATGCTGGCGAAACTGACAATCAGGAAGGACTATGGAACACACACTTAAAAATGAGCTACAACCAAAACTTCTCTCTTGAGAAAAAGCAGCAGGAAATGGAAAGCCCACCTGTAGGGAAAACTCTAAACGTGTCCTAGTCCATTCCAACACCACAGAAACATTGGTTCTAATACAGTCTTCACTAGGAAAAAGCAGAGTATTAGGCTTTTTAAAAATTTTTATTTTTATTTTTATTTATTTATTTTTTTTGGCCACGCTGTAAGGAAACAATCCCACAGCACTGACTTCTCTGCTAAGTTTATGAGCTAGTTAGAACTTTTATTTTGGTTAAGTTAAGGAGGTCACATGATGAACAATAATGTAGAAGCACTCACTGTGGATGGAGAAAGAGAATCTAATTGAAGCTTGCCATTTCATACCAGCTCATCTCCCAGGGGTATCAAGGAATCCTAGTAGTAACAAGAACTTAGACTGAGATGGGAATGAAGTGTCTCCCTTTCCAACCACACTGCCAGAAAATACCAGAAGATCCAAAAATTTATGTTTGAATAGGCTACAGAGAGATATAATACTCTGTAGTGTGTATATATATATATATATATATATATATATATATATATATACACATATGTGTATATATATGTCCAGAGATATGTCCAAGGTACAATAAAAACATTGTTTTTATACTGAGGACCAGGGAAATGTCAGGATGAATGACAAAGACAATCAAATAGATATGACACTTAGATGGCATCACTATTGGACTTATCTCACAAGGATTTTAAAGCAGCCGCCATTAAATATGCTTCAAGTAATTATAAGCACATTTAAAGGAGATAGAAATCTACATCCAATTAATTAAAGAGAAAAAAAGATAATTAAGTAGAATTTTGGAACTTGAAAACTATAAAAAAGAGGTAAAAAGAAAATGCTGCTGAATGGGCTGTATATAGCAGAGCTGAACGGAGATCATATATAAGTTATCAGTGAGCTGCAGAACAGGAAAATAGCATTACTTATAAGCAATGAATAAACATGACGTCACAACATTGACACCCATCTAGATGTCTAAATATTTTGATTTAAAATATGCCTTTCTGCCATTCCTAACTAAATGCCCTTAGTATCCTTAGGACACTGCTAACTTGATCTTTAAAAAGGGATAGTAAATTAACCTGGATCCTTAATGTTATTTTCCTTGAAGAGTTACTGATATTTTTAGTTCACTCATTTGTTAGCTACTCACTGAGTCCATAGTGTATAGTAAGCACACAGGAGATTATTGGATTATTGGGATGGCATTGTCTCAGCTCTCAGGTAGTTTATAGTATAACAAAGAAAACATATAATAGATCACTGTTAATATAATGTGGCAAGTACTATTATAGAAAAACAGATGTAGAGCTTTGGAAATTCTTGGGATTGGTTGGTACTAAGTGAAGTACAGACATGGAAGTATTTGCTGACTGAATTTAAGAAACTACCCATTTTTAAATCAATATTATTTGATTGTGTAAAAGCAGTTGAAGGAAAATGTACCAGGGTAAACAAATCAGTTATTTATGTCATCCAAAAACATGACTTTATCCCGAAACTTAAGGAATGATAATTAATTATTTTAAATGTCACTTCACATACAACTAAGCATGGATTGGCCAGTTTGAGAATACTGTTAATGCCTTCTGTATGTCTTCTACCTTGGAATGTATCAAACTTTTCATACACAACACCAGTACTGTTCAGTGTTTCCAGAATTTATTTGCTGAATCCATATTTTGCTCACACGTACACTGCAGCTCTTGCCTTGTATCTGCTGACATTGTATTCGGCTAAACACGAAACTAGATGAATGACAATCAATAACAGTCTTCACTAATAGCCTACCATTAAGAGTAATTTGTTTCCCCATGGCACTCCTTTGGAGAAAACCAAATTTTCATTTGTAAGTGGCTATCAATTTGGAGATAGTTCTGGGTTAGGGATTGGGCATGTGTCCACTTTTTTGAGCTCAGGACTCCATCTGCTGCAGACTTTCCTCTTAGAAACACTGTTATTATATTCTATAAGTTTGAGTATATTTTGTATTCATTTATAGAAAGTCTTTCTTTCTTTATATTTGCTTTGTTCCATTTTTCACTCAGTAGCGAGTTGTTCAGTTTTTGTGAGTTTGTAAGTTTTCTGTTGTTTCTACTGTTGATATCCAGCTTTAATCCACGGTGGTCAGATAGGATTCAAGGTGTTCTTTCAATTTTTTTTTGTATCTGTTGAGACTGTCTTTGTGTCTGAGTATGTGGTTAATTTTGGAGGAAGTTCCACGAGGTGCAGAGAAGAAGGTATATTCTTGTGTATTTGGGTGAAATGTTCTATAAATATCTGTTTGGTCCAGTTGGCTTATAATGTCTGCTAGGTCCAGCATTTCTCTGTTTAGTTTTGTCTGGATGACCTGTGTATTGGCAAGAGTGGATTATTGAAGTCTCCCACTATCAGTGTGTGAATGTCAATATGTGATTTAAGCTGTAGTAGTGTTTCTATTTTGAACTTGAGTGCCCTTGTGTTTGGCGCATAGATTTTTGGAATTGCAATGACCTCTTGGTGGGTCTTTCCTTTGATGAGTATGTAGCATCCTTTTCTATCCCTTCTAATTAGTTTGGGTGGAAGCCTATTTGGGCAGATATTAAAATAGCAACACCAGCTTACTTCTTAGGTTCATTTTCTTGGAATATCTTTTTCATCTTTTACTCTGCGGTGAATTCCTAAATTTTTTTTTTCCATTTCAAATTTTGCCTCCATTTTAGTTTTCTTTATTGATTCTATTTCCAGTTGCAAGTTTTTGAACTGTATTCATTTCATTCTGCTGTTTGGCTGTGTTTTCATAGATTTCTTTAAGGGATTTATCCATTTTCTCTTTAACAGCTTTTTAAAAATATATTCTTAAAGGCTATTCTGAAGTCCTTGTCTTGTGCTTTAAACTATGTTGTATTTCTCACAGCTTACTATAGTTAGGTTGCTGGGCATTAGTGAGGACATTTTCTCCTACCTGTTATATTTCTATGCTGGCTTCTAGGCATCTGGGTTGTTATTGGTGGAAAACCAGATGTTGATATCTGGCCTTGTTTTTGTTGGGTTGGTATTAACATCCTTTTGTTACTGTTGCCCTCTCTGGATCTTAGGAGAGTGTGGTGGCTGTGGATTGCCTGGTAGAGAATGCATCTGAGATCCTGCCAGGTGTGGCCACTGGGGGTTTTGGTTAGAATGTTTCTTTGAGTTGGAAGCTGACACTTAAGGATGGAGACAGGCTAGAAGAGGGTTTCTGAAGGGGGATCCACAGGAGGGAGGAAAGCAGTTTGTGATACCAGGATCAGCTTAGTCCCCTGGAAAATGGGGGCAGAGAGGGGGGGAGAGGCCACTGCTAGTAGTCTGCCACAGAGCTGAGGATGAGACTGGGGGGATTGGATTTGGAGGAGAGGAAGATGAGCGAAGGTCTAAAGATCACCTACCTGCCTCACTGGCTAGTGTGGCCTCTGGAAAGGGTTTTATTTGATATAAGTTACAGTCCATCATCTAGAGAGTCAAGGCAGCAACTTGCAGCTAAAAACTGCAGCAGAGACTGTGGACGAATTCTACTTGCTAACTTGTTTCCCCTTGCTTGCTCTAGGTAATTTTTTATACAGTTCAGGTCCATCTGACCAAGGATGGTACAGTCCACAGTGGGCTGAAAATACTCCTGTTAATTAATAATTAATAAATGCCTCCAAAGACATGTAAACAAGACAATGCAATGGAAACTATCCTTCAATGAAGTTTCTCTCTTTCCAGCTGTGCCAAGTCCACAACTATGACAATATATTTCAAAGAATTGACTTTTTTAGGGTTTGTCTATTTGTAACAGCTAGCGGAATGTCCACTATACATCTACCATTTTCCCTTTTCATAATCTCTAATGCTTCTCTACCGCCGGTTATATAGGATTCATTTTACCTCTATAAATATTACTCAGGTTCTGTAGACTCCACTTTCATCCTAAGCAATAATATCCACAAAGCTGTCAGTTGAAAGTACAAAGTATATTTTTTTCCTGTTATACATTAATATAAATCCATATTTATTAAAGTAAAAATGTTCTCTGGATGTCATTCTAAATATGTGTTTTATCACCATCATTTCCCAGCCTGAAGTACTGTAGAAAAACACTGTCCCTAAAGACATCCATCGCAGCTAGATATGGCGCAAAGTGGTTACACAAAAATATAATCGTGAAAAGAGTCATTAATTTTTCTTTGCAATGTGTTTTCAGGTTTGTGGAAGGGATGCTTAATATTTGTTACAATGCTATTGATCGGCACATTGAAAATGGCCAAGGGGATAAGATTGCCATCATCTATGACAGTCCTGTTACAAACACCAAAGCAACTATCACCTATAAGGAAGTCTTGGAGCAGGTAATGTCCCAAACTTTCTCTCCATATTGGCTATTATATAGAGGTTATATAGCTAATGTATGTTCTCATTATATAACTGTTTTAAATATATTGCCATGTACTAATGATTTTTTATAATCTTGGAAGTGAACACTGATTACTTGTGATCAACTTTAGATTTTTCTTAATCCCTTCATTTACATTTTATAGTACTGAAAGGTACTCATTTTACTTGGAAAGGCATGTAAATGTTCAGAATAGTTTTAAATGCTCTTCTGACTTTTGCTCTCCACCCTTATTGTCACCACTGGGACTAGCTAAGGCTACTCCTCGTTTTTATGTGATTGGTGATCTCCTACATGCTCTCCTTACCCAGCACTGTTCATGTTAGATTATCATCTAAATTTTTTCTTACTCATTTTCCTTAAAATGACAAACTTCCTTATTTTTAATTTCCCTAATTGCTAAGGATGTCGAACACTTTTAACTTTATTTTCTGGCCATTTTTATTTCTTCTTTTCAGAACTCTCTGTTGAGTTTGGTAGCTTAATTTTATCTGGGTCATTTGTTTTCATGGCTCTTTGTTTTTGAGTTCCTTGTAAAGCCTTAACATTAATCTTCTGTTAGAAGTGTAAGCTGGCAAAGGTTCTCACTATGGCTTTCTTCTTTGGTCACTTGGAGGGGAAAATGGCAAAGGAAGAGATGATGTAATTATATTTTAATTAAAATGTATTTTTAAAATAATGTCATTTGGAGAGTAAAATCCAGACACCTATGGCATACAAGACACTTTGAAATCCAACCACAACATCATTTCCAGTGTTTATTTTCCTAGTATTATTAGCCAATCTGTACAACTTCCGTTCTTCCTTCTTACCTTCCTCTTTCTTCATGGATGTGGTGTGTGGATGTGTATGCATATGAGTAGCCCAAGACATGACCAAAAATACAACCAAAAAGGAATGCTGCACTACACTGTTTGGTGTACTGGTTGTTGTTCTGAAACACACACAGAGTTGACACTGGAGTAAATGTGTTCATAACATATGAGAATCACAGTGCTAACGTAAGAAGAAATAGAAGCTGTCTGAAGTACTGTACTCTTTGGTATAGGTTTGCATTTGCACATTTTGGAAGAGGTGCTATTTGTGATTGAAAAAGTACTCCTATGAATTTGGCAAACTGCCACAATCTCATTTTCCAAATTTGAAAACTTAAGATAATTGCACATTTTAATTGATGTTAGATTGTACAGAATTTGATGTTTATTCATGCATTTTATTTCTGTTAGCATACTGAATTTGATGCATATACAAACATTGGAGTCAAAGAAAAAAATCTTTAAGGAAATCTTAAGCAGTAAGAGTGTGGACTTTTTCTGTTGCTTTCTCTTTAAATTATGTAACTGTCTAAGATCGCCACACATATGTTTTTCTCAGAATCTTTCTGCTAAGTCATCTTCTTTCCTCATGCTGAATCTGGACCTCTGAGACTCTTTTGACTTCTGTGCTGGTTCACTGGTTTCAGTTTACCCTGACATGAACGGCCTTAAGAGGGCAGTTCCTCTCAGCTGCTGTCAGCCCCTGGCTCTCCAGGCTTTCTGCTCCAAAGTATTAAAGGAAGAACTGTTCCACACAGAGAGAGGGGCGTTGTTCTGTTGCTTTGATTACCTGCTCCCAACTCCCTGCAGTCTCTGTTTTATTAAGTGAGGAAGACAGAGAAAGATGTAACAAGCAATGCCATTGAGAACAAACAGAAAGAACAATCTTTACACCGAGGCTCATTTCCTCTACCTTCATTCATTTTTTTCACTTGGCCTTTTGGATGGGTAAAACTTGATTTCAATTTGTTAATGTTTCTTATTTAATTAATAAACTGCAAATTTTAGGCTAATTTGCCTCAGTGATAAGAAAGACTGACAGTTTTAAAGGGGGGGGGGGTCAGAACCTTTCCAAAGTGGCTGTGTTATCTGCATGTCTGATTATTTTAAACAACCCTTGGCTGAGACATTTGTCCAGGGATTAGAGACCTGTTTAAGGTCCACCCTCCATTCCGTATATGCTTACCTTTTGATTATCAAATTTCGTTTGGAATGAAGGATAACATAACTGGACAAATCTCTTATTACCAAGTGCTGAGAAAATACATAAATATGAAAGTTCTACACACCAATCAGAGATCCCCCTCTTCCCACCAACTGGTGTGTAAAATGAATGAAAAACGTTTCTTAATAAAAAGAAGAAAGCTAAGGTAAAATAGATTTTAAAGGGAAGAGTAACAAATGATCTGCTCTGGTAAGTGATTAGGGCTGATTTTCAGTAGGTTTTACTAGGGGTAGATGCTCTCAGTCTAAGGGAATAATAAATTATATCCAATAACAACCCATAATACCTTGGAAAAGTCCCTCCCTTTACAAAGAATAAAATAGTTCTCTTTGAAAAAAATATGAAAATTCAATTGTAATACATAGTCAAAGTAGGGCTAGGTTCTGTACTCTGTGGAAAAATGTAGAAAATCACTGGTGTTTGGTATTGCTTCCTCAACTGTATCAATTGCCTGTGCTAATTTATTATTTTTTATCTTTAATTTTTTAAGTGCATGAGTGTTTTTTCTGCATGTATATGTGCACATGTATGCCCTCTGAGGCCATAAGAGGGCTCACAGTCCTCTCGAACTGGAATTACAGACCATTGAGAGCTGCCATGCAGTTTCTAGGACTTGAACCTGAGTTCTCTGGAAGCACAAACAGTGCTCTTAACTGAGCCATCTCTCCAGGCAGCCCCTGTAATAACTAATTTATAAAGACAAAACGTTTATTTGGGGCTACCCTTCAAGATTGCATGGACCTATTTCTTTGGGCCTGTGATGTGTAGTGGATGGCGATGGTGGAGCATGTGTGGTGAAGCCAACTGCTCACCTCATGGCTGGGAGTCAAAAAAAAGGGGAAAAGCCAAAGAGCCATGACCTTCTCTGTAGACACAACCTTAGTGACCGGAGGAAGCTCCACCCTCTACAGGTTCCATTACTTCTTTCTGTAGTACTGCTCTGGAGGCTGAACCTTGGTGCAAATATCTTGGACAGACACTTTTGGAAACCATAGTATTACCTAATGAGGTCAAGAGTAAATAGGATTTAGTAAAACTTCCTGATTGACAACGAGATTTAGTCCAATTTCTTATTTTGTATATGAAATGAGTTTTACGCTCACCAGGTATCTTATGACTCATGTTGTCTGTTCTATTTTATCATCTTTAATATCTTTTCTAATCATATTAACTATGTGTTCTTCCCCACACTGCTCAATAGCCCCCTTTTGCTTTCTTATTTATTACTCAATATTGTTCCTTGGGTTTTATGCATATGCTTGTGAGTGGTGCTGCTAATTTTAATATGTAAGGTTTATAAGGACAGACATGTTTGTTTTATCTGTAGAATGTTGCCACACACGTAGTGAATATGTATTGAATTATGAATGAGTAAGTGAATGAATGAATGAGTGAATGCACTACCATTTGAAATTTTAAAGTTTACTATATTTTGTTGAATGGAATTCTCTAGTGTACATTAGAAACAGAACTTGAACACCTTTCCTAACTTATTTTTATTTGGCTTGGTTCTCCAAGATATATGGATTCTCTTTGAGTTCTTCAAAATAAGCAGCTGAGAAATCTGCATGCTGGGAAACATGCATATACTTATTGTACTCTTTCAATGTTAACAGATTATTTTAATAAATCTCAGTAAAATCAAAGGCATGTGTGTTTGTACGAGCACACATATATTATGTTGAATGTCACTAATTTAATGTTGAATTTATCATTGTGATTATGATATATTATTAATATATCATTAAATTATGATTTTAGGTTTTGTTATTCCAGCAATTAGGAATTTTTGTGTGTGTTCACTAAGTAAAAAGGTGACCTTCCATGAAGGGCTCCTGAGAATTTTTTCATGAACAAAGCTATATGAGGGAAATTGATAAAACATAGTGTGTGTTAAATTTTCCAGATCTAATCCACCTAAAGTGCCTATTATCTTTATTAAAGGTAATTTTTGCAACATAATTATAGCTGTAGTTATAATTATGAAGGCTTAATAATTTAGCAGAGAAAATTACTCTGTAATCACGGGCTATGTTTCATGAAAAGTCCACTTTCAATCCCTGCTCTTCAGAATGCTCTCTTCAAAGTATGAAATCCATCTATCTGCTCAGAAATAGGTCAGGAGAAAGCAGTTGGATGCTCCCTTATCATTGACATTGATATTATTCTTAAGCAGACACCCAAAAGCCAAGGTACAGTATTGTACACTCAAATCTATCCCTGCTAGTGACGGCCTTGTTGAGAGAAAAGGAGGCATTATTTCATCTATTTTATATCTCAAGGTACCCAAATAAATACTAAAAGGCAAATAAGCACTAAAATGCCACTAAAAAGTATATGTCTGTAAGACAAATTATTGTTTTCATGCTTGATAAGTAGATGAGTGATGCTAATGTATGTAGAAATTGCAATCATGCATGTATTTCCCTCCAGTATGCAATGTGTTCAGTTTTATGTAAAGACGATATATATATATATATAGTTTTAAATAAAAATCAGATGCTATCCATATACATTATTATGATTTTACAAATAGTATTTGTATGTAACTAGATCAGGAAGCACAGTATTCCAAGCTTCAGTATACCAGAAGCCCTCATTATCACTCCCTATGTTATTTCTCATCCAGTCCCTACATGAATGCAACTCTGACATGAACAGATCATTCATGAGATATGCTTATGCTTAAACTTTATAAAAGTGAATAATGTAATATTTTATGTTTGTGGATTTTCTCTCCTAACTTTCTGTTTAGGACATTCATTTCATCCCCAGAGGCCGTGGTCTGGTTATTTGGGAAGTGCCTGTTTAAGAGCATTGCCAATTTTGGTTTTGACATGCATACATTTGGATTGGGATACATTTAGGTGTTTAGTTCAGTTATGGCTCATGCCCAGAGTGATTTGTTATTGCACA